CACACAGATGCCTTTCTCAGATAAAGCCAGCTGAATGGCGAGAAACACCACATTCATCACTTTTGTGAGGTTCCAAAAAGAATTACACATCTCTTGGCTTTCTTAAAAAGATTGTTTTCAACAAAATGCTCAAAACAGTTTCCTATCCACTCTGGAGTGTGCCAAGGGCGGGGCATTTGCTCTTGTACTAAAGAACCCAGACACAGGAGGGGAAAGCGCTCATTTTCATATTTCTACCATGGCCCGCTCACCCGCTTCCCATCTTCTGTTCTGGAATGGCCCGTGAGTTAAAAGGCGACAGTGGCAGGTGAGCGTCGGTGTGCGCAGCTACTTTATGGTCTGAGGACACGTGCTTTGTAGCAAGCGTGGGTGTGCATAGGCTTCTGGAGTACGGTGCTGGGAATCCAGGTTAAAGTTGACAACAAGGACAAACCTGACCTTCCCGGCCGGGGCCATCAGGTGGCCTGTGTCTGGGGGATGTGGGTGGGGACATGCTGGGGGCTGCAGGGTTGTCTGGCTGCTATTGTGGGGGTCCCAGTGGTCCCTGGAGATGCTCCTTCCCAGGGCAGGGCAGGACCCACCAGAGCAGCTGCAGGACCCTGCCACGGGGTTCTAGTATGGAGAGCACTGCACCACTCAACTCTGTCCTCACGAGGTCACTTGGGGCTCTTTACATGCCTGACTATATGCTTATAAAAAATACAAATAATTTAAAACAAGCATCCCAAGTCCCTCAGAGGACCAGTGGCCCAGGCTGGAGTTTTGCCTCCCCCCAAAGGCATCCTTGGACCTTCTCCCTTCCCATTAGCCCCCCACTGACCTAACTCTTATCTGCCTTATAGCCCAAGTTTCTGAGCAGTGCCTTGGCTTGGACCTGATCTGCCTGGGAATCTGGGATGCTGGGGAAATGGGGACAAGCCCTAAGGTCATCCGCAGTGGGGGGGAGGCTCCCCCAAGAGGTAGAAGGAACAAAAAGCATATGTCTCCCGCATCTCATCCCTTGTCTCGCCTTTCCCTAAAATTTCTGCTAATAATTGCAGCCCTATCCCAGCCCACTACATAGGTCTCTTTTATCTCTGTGTCCGCTATTCCTCCAAGTGTCCCACTGGCCCTGCTCCCCGCAGGCCTCCCCTGGGCCCCTGGGACTGCTGGGAGCCATCAAACTGGGCCTGACCTTCCTGGCCCCAGCCAAGATCCATTGGCCTAACCCTGCCCAGCCCAACAGGCCCAGACCCTAGTTGTGCTACAGACCAGGAAGATAAAAGCAGCAACCCACTGGGGCACACCCACATTGACCATGTGGGCAGAGAGAGGAACTGGAGGCTCTGAATCTGTGTCTGGAGGGGTCTGCGGGAGGCGAGGCTTTGGGCTGCTTCATATTCCGTACTTCCGCTGCTGGCCAGTGGGTAGGCTCACCTGCCACAGGAAGTTATCTCAGCCACCCAGGCACCCCCAGTGGGGTGGGGGAAGGGAACGGATCTCACTAGCTAGCTCTCCCACCCTTCTTCTTGCCTTCCATTCCACCTAAAGCTTGCCCACTCTGCTTCTCTCTGCCCACCCCCTCGCCACCCACCCACAGGCCTGCCTGCCAGGTCCCAGGCTGAGGAGCGGCTATTAATTATTAAAGCAAACAAAAGCATTTCCTAGCAGGGAGGCTAGCGTGCAGCTGCTTACAGGAAAGGCAGCCCAGCTGGCTTTCTCAGGGCCTGCCTGTGTGCTGGGACCTGCTGGAGGGAGAGGGCGGGTTTGGGTCCTGCAGGGGTCTCCCTGGCCAGGAATCCCATCAGGAGAGGAGAGTTGCTTCTGGGCTGAGCACCCCAGCAAGAAGAACACGGGCTGGGGCTGGCATGGGGTCCTTGTTTAGAGCTCCCCACTGGGAAGATCCTGCCAGCCCTGGAGGTGCCAGACTTCCCTTCCCTCCCCTCTTGCCTCCAGGGCAAGGGCATGGAGCCCCTCTCTTCCCCTACCCTTCTTTTGCTCAGAACTTCCCTTCCTGTTGGCAGAGCCCCCCTCACTGATCTTGGCAGGTTTGGGGCCGTCTCCTCCATCTCCACCTTCTGTAAAACTTGGCGTCATAAAGCTGGAAAGCAGTCGCCACCCAGTATCTTGTTCCTGGAGTCAGGTAGATGCTGAAGACCACCAACATAGGGAGGGGAGCCCAACAAAAAGGGATCTGGGAACTTAACATGCACTCCTATTTCCTTCAGCAGATACTCATTGCCCCCCTCTCTGCTGACTGCTCTAGCCTGTCCTGGTGCTGGGGACACAAGGACGAATAAGCCCCCATCCTTGCCCTAAAGAAAGGCACAGGCTAGCGGGGCACTGCTGATTCTGGGCTGTGGCCAGGATCCTTAGGCAGCGCTGAGAACTGTTCCTGAGGTCCAGGTGGGAGGGCACACATACAGAAGGTGTTAGGGTACAGTGGGTCCCCAAGACTGTAAGACTTTATTCAGTGGGTAGGTGGGTTCTGGGGCCAACAAGAGGCATTGTTAGATGCCAAGTATTGTGCCAATGGCTAGAGGGAGTTTGGGATTAGACAATTGTAAGCCCTGAGTGCTGAATATCTGGGAGGAAGGAGGGGTGACTGAAGTTTTTAATCAGAGAAGGACATGATCAGAGAAGAGTTCTTCAAAAATATTGCTCTGGTCCCCCTGGGACATGGCAGATGGTTTTGGGGGAGAGGTGAGAGCCTGGGGCTGGGGCAGTGGGATAGCAGGCTGCAGTGGTAAACGGGGATAGATTAACCTTCAAGCCAGGGAGGAAAGAGGTGAAGGACAGGGGTGAGCCATTGTTAAAAGTTGACCTCAGACATGAAGAAACATCTAGGAGCCTTGACCATCAGGGGGCTGTGGGGCAAGGCATCAAAGATGACTGTCAGATCCCAAGCAGGCTTGGGGAAGAGCGCTCCTGGGCAAATTTCCCAAAGGTGACAGGGACAGAAGTCAGGTAGAGGTTGAAGAGGGAGGTAGGGATGGGGAAAGGAATGTTTGTTGCTGCTGTTTCAGGATGGAAAGACCTGAGCCGAGGAGGACCGGCTGGACTGACCGGGGATCAAGACACAAATGGGAGATACAATGGGCCACTTTGGGAAGAATGAGGAGAAAGGATTAGCCTGCTCTTCAGTGGAAGGAGATGGTCCAGAGTCAACCAAAGGGGGCGGGGGTGTGTTCCCAATCTGTGTTCTGAGGCAGAGAAGTCTCTTGACTTGCAAATAAGAAGCCCAGGCCTGAAGAAATGCCCCTCTTCCAACTGGGGAAGTCTTCTGAGTCCCAGCGATGTGGTCCCCAGGACTCAGATGGGACATCTCAATGACACTCAAGAACCCCCTCCTCCACGTGCAGACAACACTGCTGATGGTCAGATCCTCTGGGAAAGGGACCCATCCCCACACTTCTGAACCCATACAGGCTACAAGAGCACCACCTCCTTCGTATCTGCTCCCCCCTCATCAAACCTGCTGGCTTGACACAGGGACAGAGGGTCTGGTCAGAGAGAAACAGGAACCCTAAGCCTCAGGGGTCCCCCTGGAACTCTTCACCCACTCTTACAAGGAGCTCTCACCACAGCTGGTGGTGGACAAAATGACGGAGCCCCCATTAAGGAACAGACCATCTCAAATTAAATACAAAAACAGAACCAACAGAAAATCTGGCAGGATACAGAATTGTTTGCACAGCCCAGTAAAAAACCCACGTGAATAGGAAAAAGGATGGGAAGGAAATACACTAAAGTGTTGACAGTAGTTGTATCAGAAAGGTAGAATTTTGTTTCTTGCTTACCAATTTTTCTGGAATATACTTATATCATGAGTAAAACTATGTAAATTAATTCATAGCAAGCCCCTCTTCTCTTGAAGAGATGAGCTCCAGGAAGAACCGCCCAGCATTCCCTTCTGACAGTCATCAAAGGACAGGAGTGCAGAAACAGGTTTGGCTGGCGCAGGAAACAAGATGTGTGTCTGTTAAGGGCTGAGGTTGGACTTGGACTAGAAGCCACCACTGAGGAACAGGCCCAGGATGGGAATGTTGGGCCCATGTGTCCAGGTGACCCTCCTGCAGAATCCCTTCAGACTGCTGCTCCAGCAGCGGCTCAGACCTTGGGGAAGCCCAGTTCCCAGGTCCCCAGGGGTCTGCAGAGTCTGCAGCACCTTAGTCTTAACCACTGAGAACTCCAGTAGGATATCTGACTCACCCCGCCCCCAATACCAGCACCCCACGACCGCTCACAAGTAGGGGCACAAAAAAGTCCATGGTCAGGTGCTGTGGGGGCAGGCCAACAAACCATTTAAACTTCCTCTCCAACCCAGGAGTCCATTCCCTATCCAGGCCCTCTGCCCAGACTCCTGCAAAGGCGTTGGCATGGATGCCGGGCTCCCAGGGACCCTCTGCCTCCTCCAGGGCCCCCCAGGAAACCACTTTGTGGAGAGGCGGGGCCTGAGCGCCGGGCCTGAGCCCCAATCATTCCAGCCAAGGCGACTGTCCAGCTCGCCTGTTCCCCACTCTTCAGCCCCCAGCCTCTTCTCTGGCTCCACACGCACCCCTCCTTCAACTCTGAGGGGCGTGGGAAAGCAGAAAGGGGGCTGGTTTTTGTGCCTTTCCTGGCAGAGAGCCTCGAATTGGACCAGGAGAGGCACTGGGACTGCCCACGAAGGAGGGGTTGCCTGTTACTTGACGGCCGGTGGCTGTGGGTCATGGTTCAGGGACTGCGGGCAGCGAGGACACCTTTTACTCTAGAGTCATGGACCGCCGGGCCCCCTGAGCGACAGTTAGAAATCAGAAATCAGAGCTGGGACAGCGGCAGAGGCGGCAGAAGCCCCGCCCCGGCCCGCCCCAGAGCCTCAGGAGCAAGCAGAGGCGCTCGGGGCAGGTGGGCGGGAGAGCTTGCCGCGAGTGTCCAGAGTTAGGGTTCCCCCACCCCTCGCCCCAGCAGCTCAGCAGGCTGCGCGAAGGTGGCGCGGAGTCGTCCAACCCGAGCGCGCCGGATCGCGTCCAAGCGCTTACCTCTGCGCCGCGGTGCTGGCGTCCAGGATGCCCGCGCCCTGCATCCAGGAGCGCACAGAGCCCAAGCCGGCGGGCAGCAGCGGCTCCTCCTTCAGGTTCAGCCCGCCGCGGGGCAGAGTGTCCTGCGCGGGGAACATAAGGGCGCGCGGTCGGTGGGCGCCCCCGCCTCCGGGAATGCGGTCCCGCCGAGGCTGCGGGCGGCTCGGCTCAGCCAGACCCGACGGCAGCGGGCGCCTCCAGGAGCGCAGCGCAGCACCGGGTCCCCGCGTCTCAGTGCGCGCCCGCCTCCCGGGCGCTCCCTCGGAGAAAGCGGGTCCGCGAGCGCCGGCGCTGTTCCCTCCCCTCCCGGGGCGCGGGGCGGGGAGATGGAGGGATTCCCCCGCGGCCTGAGCGCCGGCGGGCGGACTGCGAGCGCGGCGGGGAGGGCGGGAGCGGAGCCGGCACCCGGTCCGCACGGAGGCGCCCCAGAGGCGCGCTCTGGCGGCTGCCCAGGGCCGCGGTCGTCGGAGGGGGGGGCCCGAGCGCCCCGGGAGCTGCCTCCGGCGAGGCGGGGGCGCGGGGCTGCCCGCCCTTTCCCCCTCGCCCCCCCCCCCAACCTCCCGCCCGCCCGCGGCGCCGGCGCGGGGCGCTGATTACCATCCGGGAGGCGGAGGCTGCGGGCGCGGAGCTCCGCGGCGGCGGCGACAGCGGTGGCAACGGCGGCAGGAGCAGCAGCAGCCGCGCGTCCCGGGGAAAGGCAGGGGCAGCGCCGGGCCAGCAGACGCCGCCGCCGCCGGAGCCCCGCGTGCCCCGGCGCCCCGGCCCTGCCGCAGCCCCGGGCGGCAGCACCTGGAGCAGCAGCAGCAGCAACCCGGCCGACTCCCCCCGGGGCCCGGTTCCCGCGCCGCCCCGCCGCGGCCGCCGCCGGCCGCCGCTCCCCGGGGCCTGGCCGCGGGCCCGGGCCATCCCGCCGCCGCCGCCGCCGCCGCCGCCGCCGCTCCCGGGGGAGCGGGAGTCGAAGGGAGGGAGCGCGGGCGGGAGGAGGGATGGCGGGAGCGGGCGGGCCCAGGGGACTGGGGGCCGGGGGAGGCGGGGGCGGGGCGGCGCGGCCGGCCGAGGGGCGGCCGGGGACGTGACATCATCGGGGGAGGAGCGGCGGGGCCCGGGCAGCCGCGGCGGGGCGGATCCTGGCGAGTCGGTCGCTGGGGCTGGGGGCTGCGGCCTGACCGAGGCCGCGGGGAGGAGCTGGAGGGACCCTCGGGCCCTGGGAGGCCCGGGCAGGGGGCAGCCAGGGCTGCGCTGAGAGGGAGCCGCGCCAAAGCCGAAGGAGCGCGCCACGCCGCGCTCAGAAACCTCCGCAGCCTCGGGGTCGCGGTGGGACAGAACTCGGGCTTCTGGCCTCACCTCCCTCTCCCAAGTACCCGCCAGATTCCCCACGCTGACACCCTGTGCCTGCAGTTGCTGCTCATGTTGACGCCTCCAAGCTTTTACTCTTGATGTTCTTTGCTTGCCCTTACTGTCCTTGCATTTCCCCCTGGCGAACCTGACCTCGCCTTAACCTCAGCCTAGGACTCAAAGCTCCCTCTCTCGGAGCCTGGGCCCCAGACGGCTGAGCGGCCTTCCTCAGCCCCTTCCCCGGGTTGTCTAAACCCAAAGCATTTTCATTTCCAGTCTGTGCCTTTCTGAAACCTCTTGATTTCTGATCGCAAGTTAGACACTTAGGGCTCAGAGTTAGGACTGGGAGCCCAACGCACTTCCTCTTTCTCCCCAGCACCTTCCTTCGCAGATTTGCAGATTTCATTCCTTTTTTTTTTTCTTTAAAGTTTCTGGCACAGAAATCATCTCACCCTTGTTCCTAGGGCAGAGCTGTGTGTGCCCGTCACCTCACATTCTGGCTTGATGTGTCCAGGCCAAGCTTTGAAAAAGCCAGAATGAGTCCAGTACTTTCCTGCAGAACAGCACAGGGGTGGTGGGCCATGCCTGCCGCTTGCTCTCTCAGATAACCCTGGAATAACACTTTCTTGCCCCAGCTGACTCCTATCCTCTGTTGGAGGGTCTCTAAGTGTGCAGTTGGTGGTCCACCCCACACTGACCTAGATAGGGAGCCCCGGGGGCACTGCCATGCCTCCTATCATCCCAGAGGCTCCCCTACCTTCTCTCCTGACTTCTTTCCTCTTTGCCATCCCTCCTTCTCCATGTCCGCCTTCCCATTACCTGCAGGGGCTGTGACTCCCATCCAGACTTCTCCAAGTGTCAGCTTTTACCCTGGGTGAGATTATCAAAGGTAGGTCTCTCCTTAAGGTGAATTCTTCTGCCAGGCTCTTTCTCCACCTCCTTATTTGACTCTAGATCCTTGCTCCTCTCAGTGGGGTCCTGGACCACCAGCAGCAGATCTACCTGGGAGCTTGTTAGAAATGCAGGGTCGGGTGGTGCGCCTAGATGGCTCAGTGGGTTAAGCCTCTGCCTTCAGCTCCGGTTTTGGTCTCAGGGTCCTGGGACCGAGCCCCATATTGGGCTCTCTGCTCAGCGTGGAGTCTGCTTCCCTCCCCCACCCCGCTTTCTCTGCCTGCCTCTCTGCCTGCTTGTGATCTCTGTCTGTCAAATAAATAAATAAAATCTTAAAAAAAAAAAAAAAAAGAAATACAGGGTCCCAGGTTCTACCCAGGCCTGCTGAATCAGAACCCAATTTTAACAAGATCCCAGGGCATTCATGTACACTTACATTTGGGAAGTGTTGCTTTAGAGACCTTCCCCTGCCCCAGTGTTCCATATTTGCTTCTCCCCTCTCTCCAACCCTCAAACATACCTCTCGCTCTCGAAATTTCCAGCAGACAGCCTACCTCTTACTTAATGGAGAGGGCCCGGGGAACGGTGGCAAGATCCCGCTGTCTCTCTCAGCCGTTCGTGGTTTCCATCCATTCTCAGTCTCATCGCCCATTCTATTCTTTCCTTGGACCCCCACTAAACATGCAGGCTCAGGGACCTCTTTACTAAGTCCCAGCTTCTGCATCTCCTGACGTTGCCCCATCTGATCTGTTTGTATCTTGGTCTTCCTTTCCTCAGCTCAGACCTCCCCATTCTTAAAAGAACCCTCCCCTTGTCCCCGCCTCCTCCTTTGACTTGTGCCCCTCCTATTTTTGAGAGTCCCCAGGAGCACTCCACCAAGGATGCCCTGCCAGCCCCCATCAGGCCACTCCCGGAGCCCTAATGGTCTGGCTCCCTTCCAGCTCTGCCGCTGTGTGCACTGCACTCAGGCCTCAGGCTCTCTGACTCCCTGCAGCCCTGGGCTCTCCAGCCCTCCTCCTTCCCACACACACCCCAGGGAAAGCCATCCTGAGGACCAGAGCTCTCTGCCTCTCTTGCTCCTATGAGTGCCCCAGGCTGCTGGGCCATGCTTCCTTCTTCCTTCTCCCCCCCAGAGAGCTCATGCTGGTCCGCAGCCTCAGAGGCCGTCTTGGGGATACGATCTCCTAGTGCGGGCCTCCATCCTGTTTCTGCCAGTCCTGGTGAGCTCAGAGCTGGCCTCAACTCTCGAGGAAGCACCTGCCTCCACAGAGGGTCCCTAAAACAATAGCTCTATCCCCCGGGGCCAGAAATGAGGCCGCTTGGTTTGGCAACCCAGCTCTTCCTCCCGTCCTCCTCCCTGTGTCTGTCCATGGCACCTTCTCCTGATATCCATCAGGCTTAGGGGCAGGAGCTCATCTCTGATACTAGCCCCCTGTCTCCAGCAGCCCACCCCAATCACCCTCTGTCCTCCTGCCGTCACTTGCTTAGAAACTTACAAATGTCTCTAGTGGCTCCCCAAGTAGACATTTAGGGACCAGTTTAGGGACCGTCTAAGCCCTTTGATGCCTGATCCACCTGTCTCTTGCCAGTCTTCCCTCCATTCCCTTTCTTGCCCGACGCTGAAGATCTTACTCTTTACCAAACACAGGTTTGGAAACACCAGCCCTTTCACCTGGCTGTTCTCTCCAGAGGGGGGGGGGGGGGGGGGGGGGGGGGGGCAGTGTCCTCACTATTGCCCCGCCTTTCTTCTCTGGGAGGCTGCAGAGTCCGCATTCCTTTTCATGATGGTGGAAGGGCTTTGCTGTTGCAGATCTTCGTGGTTCTGGAAGACTCTCCCCAAAGTAGACTTGGGGCAGAAAGAGGACTTAGTGGCACTGAGCTAAAGTCATCTTGGAAGGGCTCTTTACTTGGACAGTTTTCTGTTCTCTATTAACCACATGGACTAGAAAGAAATCAACCAGGATGGTGTTGGTGGCTTCCTAGGATCTGGAGTCCCAGAGAAAGGCTTTCTGGGTTAGAGCCACTGGACCAAGGGGCAAGCCTGCTGAGTGATGAGGACATCAATTGGGCCAGCAGGTAGAAGGCCAGTGAGCAAATTCTGAGTCAGTCCCTGTGGTTGGAGGTATATCTCTACTTTAGACCCAGCAAGGCTGGTTCTTGGAGCTCTGAGTGCATTTTTATGTTTTGTGTTTTCTGGGCATCACAGTGTGGCAGTGAGAGACTTGTGAACACTCACTTATCCAGAGTGAGTGACCTGGGCCGTTAGAGATGCAGGGGCAGGGACTGGGGCAGCTCGGAAGAAGGGCCTGAGCCTGAGATCAAGACAGTGCATGTAAAGGTCGGTGGGAGCTGAATGCGTTTGCTGTACCTGCTTCAAGGTGGAAGCCTTTAGCTTCCACCTGCAACATCACAGGTGATGTGGAGGAGCATGGCATTTTTCCTGGAAGCCTGGGCCTTAAAACTGTATTTTGAAGATTTTGTTTATCTATTTATTTGAGAGAGAGAGAGAGAGAGAGAGAGCACGCGTACACGCAGGGGGGACAGCAGAGGGAGAGGGAGAAACAGACTCCCTGCCAAGCAAGGAGCCTGATGAGGGACTCAATGAGGAACTCAATCCCAGGACCCCTGGGATCATGACCTGAGCCAAAGGCAGATGCTTAACCGACTGAGCCACCCAGGAGACCCCAAACAGTGTTTTAGAAAACCAGCAAACTCACTCTCTCCAAACACGGATGCAACACGACAGAAAACAGATCTAAGGTGGTGTATTAGGCAGAAGGCTCCCGGCCAGGCTGTGTGTTGGGCCATAGCGCCCCCTGGAGGTCCCAGAGCGTCAGTTACTTGGATCCACTTCAAGGTCAAGTTTTCTTGA